ATATATATATATATATATGTATATGTATAGGCTTTATGTGTAATAATGGAAGGAGGGGTGACTTATTTGACAGTGATCAGAAAATTACAGGATTTTTTCGCCTAAATTTAGGGGGTTGACTTATACGTAGTCAGCTTATATGCCACAATATACAGTAACAGCAATATTATTTTGGCCTTCACACTTGTAATATCAGTCATAAATTATACCAACTAGCATTAAACATCTGATTTAAGTAAAATGCACCTACATTATTAACAATGAGAAAAAAAAAAGGAATCCATCATCGGATTTCTTACACTTCCAGCGAGAAATTTTTAAAAATGAAATGGACAGAAGATTAAATAGCAAATCTACTGGTAAATTGATAACTATAGAAAATATTTTAATTTCAGCAGTTAATGAAAAAGTTTTTGATAATCACCGAGTAATGTCAAGATGACATGTTCAAAGATGTTAAGTTTGAAACACTGCAGAGTTAAAACTATTTTCAACAACAGCAACAAAATTATACAAGTGATTAGTCAATGGATCAAACAAGTCACTCAAATTTCCTCACTAGAAGTTTTCTTGAATGGATTCCTGGAGGACATTTTATGTTCAGAGTAATAAGCAAACAGATTCAGATTCACCTAACAGTGACATTAACTATTTGTACTCCTGAATGGTCACTTTCATCACTCTAATGAATTAATTCATACATCAGTGTTGATGACTGAGACAACTGTATCATCTTCTCATTCTACATCATTATAAAGAATTCATCAATGATCTTTACAATGAAACAAGAGCAAATGCATTTATTAATAAGAAAAGCAAAGCAATAAGAAAAACCTATTTTGTAATTAATTTCTAGTTAATTTGTATCTATTATATATTCATCGTACTTAAAGTGATATGTGTTCATACAATAAAAATGGTAAGCAGCTTAATATCTTCGTTTTATTGCTTATTAAATGTAAACATCTATAAGCTGAAATACAAACAGCACAGAGAATTCAGCCCCCACAAATACCTTTACAATTTGTTCTGCTGCAGATAGAGAAACAAAACTAAAGTAATAAAACAACTTAGTCTAACACTTACATTTAAAGATATTTACAGACTGTTTAATTTCTTTTTGTGATGGTTAAAGAAAAGCATTTTAATTTTTAATAACAATGAAGGCAAATTGGACATTGTAAAATGCTTCGCAATGCCCATAAGCCTTCAAGCTAGTAAATTCTTAGCACATAAGGAAAGGCAGTTTGCGAGTCTCCATTGTCCACTTCAATAAACAAAGCAATCAAATCCTCTGCTTAGATCAGTTAAATGACACTTAACTCGTATAAATCACATTAGTACTTCTTTAAAACCAAACAACCAACTGTACATCAGTAAAACTGTAAAATGTGCATAAATTTGAAATAAACTAAAACTGAAACAAAAGTACTAAAACACCCACATGGATAATACTTCAAAACATTTGTTATTTTCAAACTACATTTGAGCTTACCTGTATCATAGTTATCATATCAAGGCTTTTAGCATCATCACTACACGTAGTGAACATTTTCCTGGTATGACTGTACTTTGAAAATTTGTCATTTCATTAGTAAGAAAGATGATAATTATAATTATGACTGATTTCAAATGGAGATTAAACTATTTTCTTCCCCACTGAATATCATATTGTGCTAAGGCATAACTCATGAAGGTTTTAAGTATCAATCTCAGCAACTTTTAATTTGAGCAAAACTATTTCTACATCAATGTACATACAAAATACTTCAGTTGTTTGCAACAGAAATAATGCTATATCAAAGTGTGATTTTTAACATCTTTATTTAAAATATTACACACCATTGTAAACTTCAACTTACAGCAAAAAACAATAATTAACTGATGAAATGGCATTTGTTGACAACAACTGTCACCTAAGTAACTGTTGTACAAACTTAACTCTCCATGAAATGCCATGAACATCCTCCAGAAAAAAAATCTCAACCTGAACAGTGGTCAAAATCATATAACTACAAATATATTTTTTTTTGAAGGAAAACAATTCTTCAGTTACAAAGAAACAAGTATAATACCAAGAAAATAAGAAACAGTTTAAAATATTTAATAAACAGATAGTTCAGTTTGTGGAATATATATATTTCCAAGTAACTAGGCACACTTGAGGTTTGTATGGAATGGAGTAAACTTTATTTTTCTTTTATTAAGAAAATTATTTATTCAGTCACAATTTGGTGTACGTACATACATACACAGTCTATTCAGTCATAATATGTATATCTAACTCAATGTAACTGTACAGAAAATTCCAATGCCATAAATGTAGTACATACATACATACACAATCTACAAAGTCTGCAACAACAGAAAGATTGTTCCAAATACACTTAGTTTTCACTGCCTATATCCCAACCTGGAGGTAAATTTGTGCACCACTTGAGGCTGTTATGCTAATAATTGCCTTACTGATAGCCCAATCAAATCACAGTTGTAGGAAGACTAGCTCCATGGCATCCAAAAAACACCAAATATGTTCCTCAAGCATCCAGTGGAGACTACGTTGATTCATTTGTCCTGGACTTGCATAGAACATTCAACGTTTCCAATTCATTCTGCAGGTATGAGAAGCTGTTTGTTGAGGTGTTCATATAATCTACATTGGTGGCCACTAACATGTTACTTACGGGAAAATTATTTCCACTATCAAATAGGCTCTGTGAAAGATTAAGTGACACATTTTCTGTTTCACTGTAATCTAAAATGTTTTGTATGTCAAGTGGTTCTATCCCTAGATCAAGGCTATCCAGTTTTTCAGTAGTTTCCTCCAAAGACATTTCTGCATTCTGATGTACTCCTATGCCACCTGAAGGCTCAGACTTGGGGATAGAATTAACCTGCTTTGTAGCAATTGCCAAAATGTCCTGACTGCTAGCTGTAACTAAAGTGGTGTTTGGATAAAAAGGAGAACAGAGACTAACTCTGTCCTTAAGCTCTACTGCAGACGTAGCACTTAAACCTGAGCAGGTAGTTACTGTAGATGCAACTCCCATTGTAACTACACCTCCACTTGTAGCACCTGCCCGCAGTTCTGGGGTGAAAGTAGGATGATGAGGCAACTGTGATGGTTGAAGAAACAGCTCAGGCATTTGATTACTTTTCCCCTCCAATACTAAAATGAGGAGAAAAAGAGAAAAAACAATACTTCAATCCAACTATGTTTACACAAATATATGAATATTCCTTGTAAGTATCTGCAAAACAAATTAATTACAGAAGCTAACAGATATTACACTATATATTGTGATCACTTTGGGACACAGTTGCATTGATAACAATAACCGGATGATGATGTTAACTGATGAAATAAAAATTTGTCAGTTTCAGTAATGTATATTCATATAGGGTAGCAAACGTATTACCTAAAAGTTTGAAAGCTGGATTTTTACATTTATTGACATATTCATAAACAATTAAAGAAATGAAAAACAATTACAACAAGAATTAGAAAAATTAATTTAAAGTTGACTGTACTATTTTTTTGGAGCAATTCATTAATAAAACTTTCAAGTCTTAATGATGATTCAACCTGGTCATCTTTTCCACTGTGCTTTCTTTTACAGTCAAGGTTTTCATTCTTTTTTTACTCCTCTCTCAGTGTTTGTTCGATTTTTTTAAATCTTACACAAAAGAGGATGAGAAATTTTTAATTGCACTGCTGCATTATGTTGCCCCATATTTGGTAATTTATGGTGCTTGACGTTTCACCAGTTCTTCAGGTTAGCATAAAAACAAAAATGTTCAGGGCCTAGAACTAGTTATCATTGATTAAATGTTGTAGGAAATTACCATGCATCGGGCCATAGAGAATTTTCAATAAAGGGAAACGAAAATACCAGTAACATAAGATTTTGCTTCATTGTTAAGTTGTATTTGTCTAATCACTGAATCAAAGTAACATTACGAATATACAAAGTGTTCACTATCATTATTAGCATGGGTGAGGAATGAAGTATAGATATACATATATAAATAATCAAGTTGAATACAACAGAATAAGTATCCTTAGTACCTTTATCAATAGTTTCGATATATATAGATATATCGATGTGACGATACGAGTTTGCACCTTATTATCTTCAGAGCTATTCTTTTTTAAATTGCCTAGGTACTGTTCAAAATTGTACAAATTAAATTTTATACAAAAAATATGGCACAAATTTCATTCATTAAAACGATAAAGCATGAACGTTGAGCTAAAAGTTGTCTGTTTCGTATATTGGATATTTAATAACATTGGTAGTAGTTTTGCTGTATTCTCATCAATAACCTGTGAAAATTAAATGCTTTGTTTGTTAATTTTTTAAGGCTATAATGTGGGATACAAGATGTGCCCTGGGTTTTGTAGGTGACCGCAGAAGTATTATTTTCCTTTGTTCGCTAGTCTCGCACATTAAAAAATTTACTTCACAAAGAAATATAACTTTTTGTATGTGAAATACTTGTAATATTAACTGAAAAACTGCCAAATTTCGTGAAGATCTACCCAACATATAGGGAGTTATAAGTATTAAACTTATGTCAACTTTAAACAAGTACAGAAGGTCACGTGACTCGGTCAAATCGACCGACCCCGTGTCGGAATAGTTAAAAAGGATATTCAAGAATGGACCAAAATGTTTCATTAGTGCACCCCCCCCCATAAAATACATGTAAAGATTGTGTTGCTTAATGTCATTTCAGACGTATATCCCACTTTCCAGGAACACATCATGACGTATAATGGGGATTCCCTGTATATATGTAAATGTATATACATGTTACAGATTTCTTTTTCACGATAGGTAAAATTGAAAAGCAAATCTGACGTCTGATGCATTCCTTTACTGACTGTACCCTCTGCTGTTATTTAAAGCTCTTCAGCACAGCTTGGGTCATCAATTGAAAGAAATACAGTTAGGCCTTATAATGGTGAAGTAAGTACTATATTTATGGGGTTTTTGAGCCTTTTTTAATTCACTACACATTATAAAAGGCCTAACTGTATTTGATTGGTTTACTGACCCAACCAGTGCTGAGCCTTTAAATAGGTGAAACTGCATGCAGTTCACGGCAGAGGGTACAGTCAATCAAGAAATGCATTAGGCCTCTATGTCACAGATTTTCTTCTCAATTTTACCTTTGGTGGAAAAGAAAAGAAATCTATAACATATATAATCATTTAACTGTTTGTCTGCTGTATAATATCAAATAACGAATTAGACACAACATTGAAACATTATTCACACACATCTAAATGGACTTAAAAAACCAATATATAGCTCTAATTGATGGAAAATAGGAATGTCGGTCTCTAAATAATAATAATAGAAAAAAAAGACTGAGGAGAAATATAAAAATGACTTAAATTTCTTTGTTTTCCTGCCATGAGTAATGCTGAATCCTGCAGAATAAAGCATAAAAGATAAATATTTCACTTGTTTGGAATCGTTTAATGCATGGCCCGTTGACAGAATATTTAGACTGTAATTTCTGCAATGCCTACTCTTGGCAATAGTTCCGTATCAAGATGCCATTTATAATTTATGTGGTTGATGTTTTTTTTGTTCGTTTTACTTTTAGTTTACCAAACAGGTATTGTTTAGATATTAAACTTTTCAAACATTTGTTCTCTTTTAGTTTCTTGCTTGAATTTTGTAATATTTTGGTGTGAGGGTTGTGCCCTAATATGCCAATGTTTCATATTGGGGCAATTTCTTTTTATGTTGTAATTGTTGTGGTTGATATTTTTTTTCCTATTTTAAACCTTACTTTATAAGTACCATTTAAGTAGTAAAGTTACCCCTAATTTGTTGTTTTTGTCTGTTTATTTTCAATTTGCATTGTTGTGAGGATGGTGTCTTAACATGAAACTCTTTTTCTTATACTTTCCTGGATAAACATTCTTGCTAGATGACTTTCATTTCAACATCTTTCTGATGAAGCTCATATAGCTGTCCAAACTCTTGAATGGGCTAATTATCAGTATGGTTTCCGATTTACTGATATTTTATTCAGTGTTCAAAAATTGTTTGAATCTTATTTAAGAAAAGCTGCAGAAGTACAAACCCTTAAATTACAACAACCTTGGCAGTGTTGTTGTTTCAATTTACCCCCAAAACAAATTTATATGATCATGTAATGACGTAGCTTGGGGTTAAAATCTGGAATAATTTTACCAAAATAGGAATGAGTGCCACTGTTTTCAAACATTTTTAAAATTCTTACCAGTCTCTGGTTTCAAAACAGTTCTTGTTGCCAGCTTGATTGTTCTTGGAATGGTATGAGTTGTCAGTGGACCTGTTTTCAAAATATATAAAGACATAAAACTAGAATTCATATTAACTGCAAATTTTATGTATTTAGCAAATGACCAAAATTACACCAATGTGTGTTAATTGCTTTAATTATGAAATTCTCCACAAAGTTTAAATGTTTATATATAAGCTATAACAAACTATTTGTTCATAACAGCCATTAATTCAATACCAATTGAAATGAATTATCTGAGGAAGCTTTTTTACTTCTACTCACCTCCTGCATCTCTGGCAGCACCAACAAAAATGTTTTCTTTCAGAAACCTGTCTAAACAGCCATCTTCTATTTTTTGACGTTTTCTGCTGAGACCTTCTGGATCTGATTTAATTTGTTTCAATAATTAGCTTACTTCTCACTGCAATTTCAATAACATCAAAAGAAAACAAATGCATTTTTAAAATTATATAATGTATATTAAGTAAGAATCAAAATAAATGTGTTAGTGCCAAATGAAAATTCAAATAAATTTAAAGTTAGAAGAAAAAAGTAAATGAACTTGAAGATCATTCTAAAGTGGGAGGAGAAGAATACATGTTAAAAATTTTATGTTAACTCTTGAGTAATTTCTTTTCACCTCTATTCATTGGTAGCAGCTGAAAAGGTCGAGGATCGCTACTACTACCATCAGATGGCCTGTACAGCTGAATAAAGACAGACATGGGCTGTTGAACATTTTCATCTCGATATCGAGGTGTGCGAAAAGGAATTGCTACTTGCTTGTGTACTTCATTTGGATGGAACTCCCCAAAAGCTTCCCATTCCACCTGACCTGCTCTTTCTTCATAAAATCTTACTTTAATGTCATCTATGGTAAAAAAAATAGACAGGAGCATACAAGTTTAAAATGCTGAAACAAAAAAGTACACAAACACTAATAAACACAAGACACCAGACTTCCCTATTAGAATATAAGATGATTACCTCCAATCTTACATAAAACAAGATGCTAACATTCCTTTGTGAAAAGAACATTTATTAAGCTTTAAACTGCTTTCTTCTCACCAATTTTTAAGACCAGGTGGAAATATAATGCATTTAGTCAAATAAAAACAAAACTTTTATATAGTATGATGGCATCACCTTTGTTGGAACTCTCATAAAGAAACTGTTATAAACATGACAGACTCAGTTTACCAAAATCCACCATCTGTACATTGTCCGGTAATCCAATCTTCTGACATATATTGCGACATAAATAAAAATTTGATGAAAATTACATTTCACCCACTAACAGTTTCTATCAAATTACTAAAGAAAATCACATCTCAACCACTAGTATGCATATCATATCCAGGCAAGCTTGAAAAGCCCTGGTGTCTCATGGGCAGTAGATATAGCAACAGATGTAAATTTAAGATAATTTCCTTATAACAATAAAGCAATTTTAATTAGCTAAAAATTCCCTATAAAAACAATCTTCAAAATTTCCAGGTTTTTACAAATCTTATCAGTATGATACTAATGTTACTAATATTTGATTCTTTTAAGATTAACTTTAAACTACATATATTTGAAATAATAAAAACAGATGGAGAAATTTCTTTTTCAGGTGCAAATAATACTTCATATAATACAAATACAAAAGGCTTTACCTACAAAAAAAATAACATATTGCTCTTTGTTTTACATACATATTCTTATGTTACAGTTTCCCAATAACTTTGAGAAAAAAATTACTGAAAAGATTTTACCTTTAGCAACTTTATCACAAAGAAGAATGACCTCAGTCCCTCCACATACAGGTGCTGAGTAGTGACTCAACTTGTTAATTGTAAGTTCAGAAATAGCTTCTAATAAAAGAACACAGAAGTACCAATTAGCTGTAACTGTCATTCTCCACAACATTTCAAATTTTAAATAATTTTTTCAACAGCAAAAATAATAACATATCTGCACATATCTTTTATTAATTTCAAATTACAAGATTCCACCAGTAGTTTGGGATAATAGAAATTCAATTTCATATAATCTATCATAATAATACTCCGGTTTTGCCTCTCCTGAAAATACACGTGCACCTTACTATCCAAATGTGCATGCATGCACACTTCATTTTAAGATGTAAACAAAAGACTTTAGTAGACATTTTGTAAAACAACATATTAAAAGCTTAAAATGTTTAAAAAGGTCTAATGTTAGGTCAGAGAGCAATATTATAAGTTTATTTATTAATAGTATTAAGTATGTTAAAGTTTAGCTCTAACTAAAATCAAGCAAAAATATTACAAAAGTTTCAGTGATAATTTATCTTTATCTTAATAAAGGCTTAACTCATGTTAGGCCAAAGACAAGTGGACTCGTAGATTTTGGGGTCTGTGATGAGAAATCTTTTGTATTATTCTATAAATCCTGTACATAAAGAAGTACTGTTGCAATAAAGATATCAAGATACCAATTTGACTGCAAAATTATATATTCAATTATATTAAAAAAAAACAAGCTTGTAAAAGAACCATTTATATAACAACTTTATTCCATCCTTTTCTGATTTATGAAACTTAGTAGATTAATGTAAGTTCTTGAACATCTTTCTGTGTATAAGACCCACAATTCTGCTTGATCTTTTAAAAATGAATAAAATTGTTTAACCCAAGCCCCACCAATGTATTATCATGATTGAATATAAAACTAAACACATAAATACAATAATTGTTATCTTGTAACACAGCTTTATTAGTTAATCTGTGTTAAGCTTTAAAACATTCCAGAAAGATTATTTTAATAGATAAATTATTAAATGAAACCACTATTTTAATAAGTGTAAGTTACTACATTTATTAACATTTGTTTCATACTGATGATAATATGGCTGTCTCAAACACAGAGATGTAAAAGATTACTTCAATGAAAACTACATAACTTGTAATAGCTAAATACATTTTGATAGTCTGGATAAATATACATTTTTCATTTTATGAAAGAGTATTTAAAAAATTCTTACAGGTTCTGACATGTTCCAATATACATTTTTCTGAAGGTGGTGAGCTAAATCTGCCTCAAGCTACATATTACACAAGTAAACTTGAGGGCCCACTTTTTGATACATTATATGATTTTATTATTATTTTCAACCCTACAGAGTTTCAAATAATTGTCTTTATGTGTACAGTAAAAATTGTTATAATTTGCTGGTTAACTTCGGGAGTCAAATAGCAAGAACAAAGATTAGGTGCTACTATATCGTGTGGTCTACACAGATACTATCATCATCATCATCACCGTTTGAACTTTCATATATTTGCAATTGGCACCATTTATTATAAATAACGTTTTGAAAAACTAATAAAGTACAAAATACCATTATAACAATATATACTATACAGTAAGTACTATAACATTTGTGTAGTAAGTGTATCTTCATGTAAGTACTATAACATTTGTGCAGTAAGTGTATCTTCATGCAAGTACAATAACATTTGTGTAGTAAGTGTATCTTCATGCAAGTACTATAACATTTGTGTAGTAAGTGTATCTTCATGCAAGTACTATAACATTTGTGTAGTAAGTGTATCTTCATGCAAGTACTATAACATTTGTGTAGTAAGTGTATCTTCATGCAAGTACTATAACATTTGTGTAGTAAGTGTATCTTCATGCAAGTACTATAACATTTGTGTAGTAAGTGTATCTTCATGTAAGTACTATAACATTTGTGCAGTAAGTGTATCTTCATGTAAGTACTATAAAAATATGTTATTTTGCATATGAAAGCATTGTAATGATTACTGATAATCTGCCAAATTTCATTAACATTTGCTTACTAATTTAAAAGTTATAGAAGGAAAACTATAACAAACACAAAATGGTTACGAGGTCTGTCCCAAGGACCGAGACCATGTTGAAAGAGTTAATAGACCTCACTGAATAAACAATACTAAACATGCAAGTTACTTTACATTTAAAAAAAACAAGTGAAACGAAACCATTTTATTATTTTTAACTCCAAGTTCTCTAGAAAATTAGTAACTTGCTTGTAAGTAGAAGAAACTGCTATATTTTTCTAATGCTATACGAGGTTCTGAAATTTCAATGTATTTTCTCATATTTGGACAATCATAATAATGTTTAAGAAGAACCTACTTTTGTCAAAGATTGGGTCACTAACCACTGGTGGAAGAGGAATGGTATACTTTCCTTGCTGTGAACCTTCAATAAAAACTTGAAAGCACAACCTCACCACATTGAGGTCTATATTACTTGTCTGTAGTCTATGGTCAAATCCAGCTGTTCACAAAAATGACAACAATCAAACAAGTGAAACAAATTATCCTCTAGAAATTACATGTCAGTGCCATTTTTTTTAATTATCATAAGTATAAAAAGCTATATAAAATCTTTACATCAAGTCAAAATCTGAAATCAGTTTGAAATAATTCTTGAAATAAAGTTAATATCACTGCCAATATATAACAAAATATCTTACTTCGATACGGATCAACTTTTATCATCTCTCGAAGCTTCAAAGATTCTTCAATATCCTTTCGTTTCACACATTGGATACCAAGACTCGAAAAGCTGTAAAAAAAGTTATAAAAAAATGAAACAATATGAAAAAATAAACAGATATATATTCTTCTTATGATTGTGCAATTTTAAATACAATTTCCTTATTAAGAAGGGGCATTATGAAAATCAGTTAAAACTTTTGGTTATGTAAAGTTCATATTAAGACAATTCAAAAATAGCAATGACCTGAAAGAAGCTCGTCCTCAGATGATCTTCAAGGATGAAATTTCAATTAAGAAAAGAACTTATCTGGTGTTTCAAGACCATCAAGAAAACAGACAATAAACAGCATTTACATAAATTTAAAATAACGAGAATTATAGAGATACAAACAGTAGCCACAAAACTTAAATTACCAAATTAAGCCTAATAAGTTAACCTAAAAGATTTAAACATTTTATACGTTTAAAAATACTTTAATGAGCAACTGGACACATTAATAAACTAATTTCCTTCAAATAAAAATGTTTTAGCCTTTTAACTTAACCTTTCAACGGATTGAATGAAAAGTTGGATGAAAACTATAAACTCTCTTTCTACTAACCTACAGGTCATATCATGATTATTGATAACCATAGTACAGATCCCCTTCTTGCAGCCTTCTCGACCAACCAAGTTATGGGGATGAGGTCTATATGGTGGACCTTCCTTGGTCACACATGATACCACCACCACTGCCGAACCTTTGTAGTTAACCACCTGATAAACAGTCAGAAAGAACCATCTTTCAATGGGTGTGTGTGACAGAAATATGGAATGGTGGAAGACGACACATAAAAGAATAATAAAAAAAAAAAACACCACTAAACAAAGTTATTATAGTGTAATTAAAAAAAACAAGACACCCAAGACAAACAAAAATATTACCATATATCCAACTACGGTAATGATAATTTTACTACTCAAAACTGTCTTTAGTAAATTGATTGAGAGTTGTTTGTTAGTGCATCTTTGTGGCTTTCTCTTTACTTATACCTCCCAACACCTGAAAATTTGAAGGAAATGACAATAGACTTTGAAACTCCACAAAACAGACAGCCCTCAACCACTAAAAACACATCATGACATGTAATATTTGAGATAGGTCTGTAAGTGCAACAAATCACTCTGCTATCATTTTGAGAATGTAAATGAACAAAATATTAAGAATTATCAGAAATTTTAAATGTTTCCTAAAAAGCAGATGAAAAGGTATAATATTCAAAGAAGGCACCACACCTTTAAAAAATATGAAGTTACAGTGACATATTGACCATAACGACACGGGTCATGGATCAAAGGCTATGTCATCACTTTTGTTGACTTGCATTCAAATTTTATTATTATACATTAGTTAATTTCTTAAAAGCCAAAACATCTACATGGCAATTTTAAAAACAAAGAAAGAGTTTATATATAAAGCAACATAACAGTAAGTTTAATGACAGTAATCCCCCAGCTGAGTTATTGCCTGCTAAACAAAGCATAAAAGATATAATGTAAAATGTAATATAACTAAAATAACCAGTTCACAACTAAAACTAAAAATGAAGTATTTATTACACTGATATAAGTAAATATTTATATTTTAAATTAATTCCAAAATGGAGTTATTTTCCCAAGTCAATGTAATTTGTGAACTTATTTATTCTGAATAACTGTTTCAGTTATTTCTTCTACAGCAATGTTTCTCAACCAGTGAGTCACAGCCCACTAATGGGCCATGAAGCAATTTGAGGTGGGGTGCAAAAAGTCTTAAAATTAGATATTTTAAAAAAATATTAAAAAACAGCAAAAGTATAATGTAAACTACATAATACCTTGCAAAATACTAAGTAAAAATCAATCTCATATGCATGAACCCAGCATATCAACTATGAAACAACAGTGTCATATGTATCATACTTCTAAAACGTTCTATGGTAGGCCACAGGATATTTCTTGAAATTTAGGTGGGCTGCGATACTGAAAAGGTTAAGAAACACTGTTCTGTAGCTAATAAAATGCTAACTTAGTTAAAAAAAAAATGGATTTAAACTAAAACAATGACAAATTTTGTTTTTCTTACATATAGTTTTAAGCTAAAACACCCTTAGAAATATGTTCCTGTTCATATACATTTTACTGCAATTGAACTGATATATAAAACTCACAAGAGATTAACAAAATTGTCTGAGTATTAATTTTTATTGGACCAAATTATCCATCAGACTTAATTTATTTTCATTTATAAATATTATTACTATCATCCAATGGTGTCTAAGTAAAATGAAGCTTTATCAGAGCATCAATAGAAGGTAACATACATACATATAATTTTAACTTAAATACTCTAAATCAGTAATGCTTCAAAAAGGACAAGTATTAACTCTCTCAACATAGACTCGGTCAATTTGCCCAACCATGTCACCTCTTTGTACTTGATTAGTCTTTATAGATTTAATACTTCTAGCTTTCAATATAGTGTGTATATCTTCAAAAAATTTGGCAGTCTTTAAGTTCATATTATGT